GAATCCAGACCCACAGCAATGTGGTTGACTCTTAACTACCCTCTGGGCAATCAGGGATGGGCAATAAACGTTGGCCTAGCCGGCGGTGCCCTCATCTCATGAATGAATAATAAAAAAAAATGGCACTAACAAACCTCCTGGCCACGATATCAGGTTCTCTTCCAGCATAGATGTAAAACCCATCCTTCTTGTACAGGTCCCACCTGCCCTGGAAGACATCCCAATGATCTGCATACTTGAAGCCCCACTACACTCCCAGACCAGATCTTTAGACACATATTTAACTGCACTATCTTTATGTGGCACGTGACACAGGAAGTAATCCTGAGATTATGATACTCGAGGTCCTGCTTTTAACTTACTGCCTAATTCCCTGAACTATCTTTGCAAGATTCATCTCTCTTTCTGCTTACATCCTTAGGACCAGTACAGACCACAACCTCTGGCAGCTCTATCCCTTCCCCTCCTCTCCCCACCCCCGACCACCACTTCAGAATATCCTTTGCCTGCTCAGAGACATACTTGACCCTGGCACCAGACAAGCACCACACCATCCTGGAGTCTCGCTCACGGCCACAGAAATGCCTATCTGTTCCCCTGACTATAGAGTCCATTATTCCCCCTGCTCACCTATATTTCCACGCTCCCTGCTGTACAACAATGCCAGTCATGGTGCCATTGATCTGGCTGCTGCAGCAGCTTCCCCCTGAGAGGCCGCCCCCTCCCAACAGTATCCAATATGGTACATCTGCTTGAGAAGGGAATGGCCACAGGGGACTCCTGGACTGCCTTCCCACACTTACCTGTCTTCCTGATGGTTACTCAACTTCTCTCTGTCTCTGTAGTCTTCCTGGTGGTGTGACTAGCTCACTAAATGGGCTATGCATGACATTCTCAGTCTCGTGGATGCTCCGTAGTGAGTCCATCCACAGATTCAAGTGTTCCATATGACCAATCTAGAGCTGCAGCTGAACACACTTCATGCATGCATAGTCAGCATAGACGCTGGAAATGATCTTGATTTCCAACATATTGCAAGAGGACCATTCCACAGGGCCCTGTTCTACCGCCATTTCAACCTTATCAACAGCAAACAACAATCCAGGAACTGATTACACAACCTCACCCACTTGACGTCAAAGTCAGGTCTCTCACTCCCACTTTTTATTCAAAACAGAGTACAAAAAAAAGTAGTTGATGCTTTTGCATCACATTTCATCAACATTTTTTTGCAATAAGCTGGGCCGATTTCTTTTTCACCAGAATAATTATGTTTACACCAGTAAATCATGTCCACCATGACAGATATCACTTCCAACTTCACCTCATGTCTCAAAAGTGTTATTAAATTATTTGTAGCAATACAAACAACTAACACTCCTATTCTCCTTTTCTCTGTGTCTTTCTCTCTCATGCTCTCTATTGCAGCTAACCTGGCAGTGATTGTGATCCTGCATCAAAAATGATGTGGTCTCTCTGGATGCCTCACTAATTATGTGGTGTCCATGGTGGTGGCAGGTCTCCTTGCCACGGTCATGGTGACAGATATTTCTCATCTAGTTTCCTGTCTATTGCACCAATCTGCAGTGTACACTCTGTCATAGATTTTGCATTCATAGAATGTTCTATCGGGTTATTAGTCACTTTCACCTTTGATCAATTTGTGGTCATTGCTTGCCAGAAGCTGAAAAGGAAATGTTGCATGGAGATGAAAGCGGGCTGATGTTAGGGATCGTGTCCAGGTTAGCCTATATATAGTGACAATACTATGGCTTTAAGAGGCATATTTTGTCCTGGCTTTTTTTTAGGAAAAGAGTTTGAGACAGATGCGCTGAGCGGTCCTCCAAGCTAATAAAATAAACAGCTTGTGAGGCCTTGGAATTTTTTAAAATGTTGGAATAAAAGAAGCAGCATGAAGGGGTAGGGTCAAGCTCCCACAGAACCAGGATTTTAGTTTAACTTTCAGTCGGGCTTTGGAAGCCACTATATATCTCTCTCACTGTTATTGCAAAACCCTTGAGTTCTTTCCTTCTCTCAGAGTTTTCTCTTAATGTTCTTTCCTCCTGGATGGGAGAATTGCATCTGACGTTTTCCAATGGAGCTGCTATTCCAATTCTTTTTTCCTTTGTCTGCATTTTAACTATAGCCTGGTAGTTCGGCCAATCAAATTGCATTCAGAACGCAATGCCTCACACCTGCCTTAAAAATAGGAAAAACTTGGGGTCTAGGCTATCTTCTTAATATGTTTTTGGGGGTGTGTGGTTGGCCTGGTCCATAACAATATTATATATATTGGTCTGGTCTATAATAATATCATATTTGATTCAGATTTTGATTATAATATACACTTTTTGTGTGAACCAGAGAACTGGCTTGGCAACAGGAGACAGAGAGTTGTAGTGGAAGGGAGTTTCTCAAAATGGAGAACTGTGACCAGTGGTGTTCCACAGGGATCCGTGTTGGGACCATTGTTGTTTGTGATATACATAAATGATCTGGAGGAAGGTATAGATGGTCTGATTAGCAAGTTCGCAGATGACACTGAGATTGGTGGAGTAGCAGATAGTGAAGGCGACTGTCAGAGAATGCAGCAGAATATAGATAGATTGGAGAGTTAGGTGGAGAAATGGCACATGGAGTTCAATCCAGGCAAATGCGAGGTGATGCATTTTGGAAGATCCAATTCAAGAGTGAACTATATGGTAAATGGAAAAGCCCTGGGGAAAATTGATACACAGAGAGATCTGGGTGTTCAGGTCCATTGTACCCTGAAGGTGGCAACGCAGGTGGATAGAGTGGTCAACAAGGCATATGGCATGCTTTCATTCATTGGATGGGGTATTGAGTACAAAAGTTGGCCGGTCATGTTACAGTTGTATAGGACTTTGGTTCGACCACATCTGGAATACTGTGTACAGTTCTGGTCACCACATTACCAAAAGGATGTGGATGCATTGGAGAGGGTGCAGAGGAGGTTCACCAGGATGTTGCCTGGTATGGAGGGTGCTAGCTATGAAGAGCGGTTGAGTAGATTAGAATTATTTACAATAGAAAGACGGAGGTTGAGGGGGGGCCTGATTAAGGTCTACAAAATCATGAGAGGTATAGACAGGGTGGATAGCAAGAATCTTTTTCTCAGAGTGGGAGACTCAATTACTAGGGGTCACGATTTCAAGGTGAGAGGGGACAAGTTTAAGGGAGATATGCGTGGAAAGTTCTTTACGCAGAGGGTGCTGGGTGCCTGGAACGCGTTGCCAGTGGAGGTGGTAGAGGTGGGCACGAAAGCGTCATTTAAGATGTATCTCGACAGATACATGAATGGGCAGGGAGCTGAGGGATACAAATCCTTGGAAAATAGGTGACAGGTTTAGAAAGAGGATCTGGATCAGCGCAGGCTTGGAGGGCCAAAGGGCCTGTTCCTGTGCTGTAATTTTCTTTGTTCTTTGTTCTTGTCAACTTGTTCAGGTCAGTGGAGGGTGTTAGTTCACTGAGAACCTAAGCACTTCAGCGCAGTTACATTTAGTGGCAATATGTCCTGTCCAGTTTGTGTGAATACAGTGTAAACTTGTGTATTGCAACACTTACTACCGTGTCAGTTTATTATAGCACTGCTTACAATACACCAGATTCATTCCACCACAATCCCATCCAGTCTTGGATATATCGAATTCAGCACACTTACATTCACAGTACTCAAGTCCAAAATGTACTTTTTTCTTGGGCAACAACCATATGGAAAACAATTTATTCTTGTCAAGGAGTTGAACAATCCTCTCCAGTATGACAGCTATGGATATGAATGACGAGACTAAGAAGCGACTGAGTCTGTTGGACACATTGATGGGATGTGTCAAGTAGATGTGCGAAGAGAAGCATCATGCTTTTGATTCTTTTTAAAGCTGATTTTAATCTCATTTCGGCATACAATGCCAAATTTTTAACTGAGCTAATATTTTAACTTTCCACCTGTCAGTACACAGTCCTTCCATTAGCAAGTTCTCCATGGTACCACTTATTGGTAACACACAGCCCTTGTGGTTCTAGCTTGACACTCCTGAGAACTGGGATAGAATTGATCCCAAATATGCAACATAGAGATCCACTAGACACGGGAGGTTTATAAAATCATGGGGATGGGGGAGGCATGGATAGGGTGAATAACCAAGGTCTTTTCCCCAGGGTAGGGGAGTCCAAAACTAGAGGACACGGGTTTAAGGTGAGAGGGGAAAAATTTAAAAGGGACCTAAGGGACAACTTTTTCACGCAGAGTATGGAGCATGTATTGAATGTGCAACCAGAAGAAGTGTCTAGATACATCTTAAATGACACTATCGTGCCCGCCTCTACCACCTCCGCTGGCAATGCGTTCCAGGCACCCACCACCCTCTGCGTAAAGAACTTTCCACACGTATCTCTCTTTAACTTTTCCCCTCTCACCTTGAAATCATGACCCCCAGTAACTGAGTCTCCCAAAAGAACTGAAGAATTATGCCTTTATGCAATGAGGATAACATACTTTAATGGGCCTCTCCAAAATAAGCATAAACCGAATTGTCTGAATTATTCTCACAGGGATTTAGAAACATATTGTCCCTGATCAGTTATTCAACTGAATAGTGATTAAGAGTGAGAACTTCCTTGGGTTGTATGAGAAAAATGTGTGTTTCTCACTGAAGTCAGTGGTGAATCTCATTGATTTGGCCAGGCTCCAGTATCAAAATTGTTAGCTTGTTTTTTTTTTAAAAATGCAGAAATGCAACCTGGATTTGCCATACATTTTATTTTGGAGACATCCCTGATTACATGGAAATAAACAAAACTCTATTATATCAAAACATAAGGACCAGCTGAGCATCAGTTTATACCACCTCCTTCCTTACAGTAAATTGGTTAATGTCAAAACAAAAATCAGTTTAATTAACTCCCTGGAGCCTGAAACCTTTTATAAATTTGGCAGTTTTTCAATGTAGTGTTGGACATGGCCAGAACTTCTTTTAGAAATGCATGGAATACCAAGAGGTCTGGTGTTTGCCATTTACTATCCCGTCCTTGCAGCTATTGGACTTCCAGGTAATTATTGTAGTTAGTTACTAGTTGTCGGAATCATTGGTTAGCTGCATTGATTCTCCCACTTTAACAGTCGTGCATCTTCAAAATGTCGACACCCTTTGTCCCATTTCATCTGATGCATTATTCCGCTTCAATAGTGTATTTACTTCATTTGACTGGTGTGTTTTTCTTTGGAAGAATTTTTTTATGCTTTAACTGTCTTAATGCCTCTATCAAGGTTATAAATTATTCACTTTGAATATTTTATTCACTCTGAATTAATGGTATACGTTCTTATAGTATATATTTCTCCTTTATGAACACAGGTTCTTTCCATTACTTGTAAGATCTTCCCCGTTTAATGTCAAGCTGTCTTTTTTTTTGGCTATCACTTAATTCCTTAAATTACATTATTTGTCAAAATTGTACTATTTGTCAATTTACTGCTTTCCCATGGTGTAAATGTAGTTTTACTGTGGTTTATGCACTGTAAGTGTGAGTAAATTAACATCACGTTTTTTGATGCAAAGTAATTCTGTTGCCATTTGATCTTGTTATTGTGGGTGAACTTATTCAAAGTTATTGTCATTGAAGTGAATACAGGCCCCTTGGTCTATCGATTCTGTGCTGACACTTGAGAAACACCTGACTTTCAACCTGTCCCATTTACCAGGAGTTGGCCCATAGCTTTGAATATTATGACATGCCAAGGGCTCATCTAGGTAATTCTTAAAGAATGTGAAGTAATATGCCTCTACCACCACCATCATCAGGCAACCCCTCCCCACCTGCAGTGCATCCCAGAACATCACCATATAGAAATAGGTTTTCCGCACATCCCCCAACCCCCCCAAAACCCCCTACTGGTCACCTTAAACCTATATCCCTTCATGACTGATCTTTCAGCTTAAAGGAACAGCTGCTCCTTATCCAATCTGTCCATACCCCTCATAATCTTGTATATCGCAGATTGCTCTTCAGTCTTCTCTGCTCCAAAGAAATCAACCCAATTCTATTCGTTCTGCCCTCATAACTTACATTTTCCATCCCAGGCCGCATCCTGGTGAATCTCATCTGCACCCTCTCCAGTGAAATCACATCTTTCCTGTAATATGGCAACCAGAAGAGCACACGGTACTCTCACTGTGGTCTCACCAAAGTTCTATACTACTCCAACATAACTTCCCTGCTCATGTAATCCATTGCCCGATTGATAAAGACATGTCCCATATGCTTTTTTTCACCACCCTACCACTGTGCCCTTTCACCGTCAGAAATCTATGGACAAACATGAACAAGTTCCTTTGTTCAATAGAATTTCCTAGTGTCATTCTATTCATTGAATGTTTTCTTATCAAATTACACTTTCCAAAGTGTATCACTTCATATTTTTCAGAGTAAAATTCTACCTGACACTTACTTGCCCATTTGACCATCCTGTTTATAACTTCTTGTAGCTCAAGGACACTCAACCTCACTGCTAACCATCCAAACAATCTTTGTATTATCTGCAAACTTACTAATCACCCACACAGTCATCTATGTCATTTATATAAATGACAAATAATAGTGGACTGAGCACAGAACCGTATGGTACGCCACTAGACACTGACTTCCAGTCACGAAAAGCATCCTTCTATCAGCACCCTCTGTCACCTGCAACTGAGCCAATCTTGAATTCAGTTTATCAAATTACCTTGTATTTGCCTTCTGGATAAGTCTCCTATATGGAATATTGTCAAAAGCTTTGTTGTAATCCATATAAGCTATATCAACTGCACTATCCTCATCTACACACTTAGTCACCTCCTCAAAACTTCAAATTTGATTGGCATGACCTCCCTCTGATGAAGCCATGCTGCCTATCCTTGATCCTTGCCTCTCTAAGTGGATATAAATGTTGTTCTTCAGAATTTACTCCAATAGTTTCCGTACCACTGACATGAAAATCACTGGTCTGTAGTTCTCTGGCTTTTCTTTACAACCTTTTTTTAAATATTGGAGCCACATTAGCTGTTCTCCGGTTTTCTGGCACCTCCCCCGTGGCCATAGAGGAATTAAAAATTTGGGTCAGAGCCCCTGCAATCTCTTCTCTTGCCTCTCACAGCAGCCTAGGATGCAACTCATCCAGACCTGGTGATTTGTCCACTTCTCAAGCTATCAATACTTCCAATGCCTCCAAGAACTTCGCAGTCTCTCTCCCAGCTTCCATAGCTTCATCCTCATTCTGTTGGGTGAAGGTGGATGTAAAGTATTGGTTCAACACTCTACCAACGTCCTCTGGTTCTACACACAGATTGCCCCCTTGTTCCTTACTGGGCCCTACCCTTTCTCTTCCCATTGACATACCTATAGACTATCTTGAAATTTTTGTTATTTTTTACCAGCCAGAGCTTTCACATATCCCCTCTTTGCTTTCCTAATTGCTTTCTCAAGCTCCACCCTGCACTTTCTGTAGCTCACTAATGCCTCCACTGATTTGGTCCCTTTCTACCTGTTAAAGCCTCTCTTTTCCTTCTCATTGTATCCTGAATATCTTTAGTCATCCATAGTTCTCTAGGGTTGTTACTCTTCCTATCACCCTATGGAGAATATATTTGGCTTCTATCCTCCCCATTTCCTTTCTGAATGGTCCACTGCTCTTCTGTATAATTTCTCCATCTCCCTTGGCCAGACCCTGCCTTATTTAAATAAACTCTGTTCTCCCCAATCCAGAACATTTTTTGTAACTTGTCTGTTTTTTTTGTCTGTAAGAAGCTCAAATTGTACCATGCTTTGATCGCTATCATGGAAGTGTTCCCCCCAACCCACCTCAACTACCTGTCTGGCTTCATTCCCCAGAAGTAGGTCCAGAACAACTCCATACCTTGTTGGACCCTCTAAATATTGGCCTAAAAGTTCCCATCCGCATATTTCAAGAAATCCACTCCAAGTCCTTAACACAATGTCTATTCCAGTTAATGATGGGAAAGTTGAAATCACCTATCCTTTTGTTATTATTTCTTCACACCTCCGTGAATGGGACACAAATTTGCTGCTCAGTTTCCTGCCGACTCTCTGCAGGTCTATAATAAACACCTAGAAATGTGGCTACCTTTTTTTTATTCCTAAGCTGTACCCAGAAAGCTTCATTCAATTCCCCCTCCAAGATTTCGCCCTCCTTTACGCAGTAATTGACTCCTTACCTAATAATACAATACCTCCTCCTCTTTTACCCCCTTGTCTCTCTCGCCTGGAGATTCTACATCGTGGAATGTAGAATTACTAGCCCTGGCCCTCCCTCTACCACGTCTTTGAATGGTTACTATATTATACTTTCATGACCTTAGCTCATCCATTTTACCTTTGATACTCCCAGAATTAAAGTAAAGGCCATCAAGCCGTGTCTTACTCCCTTGAAAATTAATCCGCTGCACTCTCTCTGACTTGACTGTTTTACTGTATAATGCGGTGCCCTTATCCTGCGAACAGTCTGTGGCCCCTCCCCCTGCCAAATTACGTTAAACTATTGTGATGGGAATCCAGTTCCATTGTGGCTTTGGCAATGTTCCTGTTGATAAATTCTCATACATGTTTAAAAACTGTGTTACAAATGTTAGCATTGCTACTAAAATTATTATTTCTGTGAACATGAAGGTCTACACAGTTCATAAGGAGAATGACTGTACTGTAATTATCCTTATGAAGGTCTACACAGTTCATAAGGAGAATGACTGTACTGTAATTATCATGCTGTTGTGGATCTATGGTGCTATTTCCATTGTCACTATAGGTGGATTATTACAATTATATCATGGAATAAATGTGGATCTATTGCAGTATTGGTTTCGACAGTGACACAGTAAATGCCAAATTTATCATTGATTGAATTGTTTGAAACAAGAAAACTCTCTCAATCTGATAGGACTTGGAGGGTTGTGGGTAGCATTTTTGCTAATTAACCAGACGTTCCATGTTTGGGTCTCACTGCATGTCTTGGTGGCCCACGCAGTATACATTCATAATGTGGCTGAATAGGTTAAGCATCATCTTTCACTTCATTTCCACAGCTGTCAATCAATTCCCAGATGATTTTGTTGAAAGGGCATCATGAACTGTTGAAAGGTTAATAAATATATATGTAATCTATATATGTAATGTCTGATTAGTGTTTGTACCTATCTCAGGTCGATAGAGTGGTCAAGAAGTCATATGGCATGCTTTCATTCATCGGACGGGGTACTGCGTAGAAGAGTTGACAGGTCATGTTACAGTTGTATAGGACTTCGGTTCGACCACATTTGGAATACTGCGTACAGTTCTGGTCACCACATTACCAAAAGGATGTGGATGCATTGGAGAGGGTGCAGAGGAGGTTCACCAGGATGTTGCCTGGTATGGAGGGCGCTAGCTATGAAGAGAGGTTGAGTAGATTAGGATTATTTACATTAGAAAGATGGAGGTTGAGGGGGGACCTGATTGAGGTCTACAAAATCATGAGAGGTATAGACAGGGTGGATAGCAAGAAGCTTTTTCCCAGAGTTGGAGACTCAATTACTAGGGGTCACGATTTCAAGGTGAGAGGGGACAAGTTGAAGGGAGATATGCATGGAAAGTTCTTTACGCAGAGGATAGTGGGTGCCTGGAACGCGTTGCCAGTGGAGGTGGTAGAGGCGGGCATGTTAGTGTCATTTAAGATGTATCTAGACAGATACATGAATGGGCAGGGAGCAGAGGGATACAGATCCTTGGAAAATAGGTGACAGGTTTAGATAGAGGATCTGGATCGGTGCAGGCTTGGAGGGCTGAAGGGCCTGTTCCTGTGCTGTAATTTTCTTTGTTCTTTATTCACAGCACAATGTTTCTATCCTCAATCTTTAATATTCACTTTTCAACACAGCTCTCCTCTGCCATTTGCAGTATTACTGAAGATTCTAAATTGCTAACAGCTAAATTGGGATTTCCTTCTAATCTTAGAATCTGACAATATTTCACATTGCTCACATCCATATTTTCTCTGCATTGAGTTGGTATTACAGTGAGTGGTATCTCTTGCATATTTTCTATTTCAATTATTCACTAGAGGATGAACTTGATCTGTTACTTCAACCATGCAATGCTCCACTGAGCAAGAATTACATTGTATGAGTCTTCATATCCAAATTAGATTTCAGCATCTGGCAATGGTCCAGATTGACACTGAAAATCTCAAGTAATTAGGAAGACAAAATCTCAGTATTTCATTGGTATACCAATGCTCTTGTGTCTGTATTGTTGGACAGATTTAATTGCCATTCACTCCATTATGTTTGAAGTTATTCATAGTATCATAGAATCCATACAGTGCGGAAAGAAGCTATTCACCATCAAGTCTGCACTGACCCTCCAAAGAGCAGCCCACCCAGACCCACCCCCCATGCTATCCCTGTAAGTCCACATTTACCACGGCTAATCCACCTCGCCTGCACATCTCTGGACAATACAGGCAATTTAGCATGGCCAATCCACCTAAACTGCACATCTTCGGACTGTGGGAAGAAACTGGAGCACCTGCAGGAAACCCACAGTATTGTTGAGTAGATTGACTGCCAACATTGCCCAGAGTGAACGATCCCACAGCAATTCACTGGAAGGAGCCACATTTGATCACCACTGAACATTGTCCACAAGCTTGATATTTCCCATACTTAAAGTTCTGACATATAACCACTTCAATATTTTCATTATTAGTTAATGGCTGATGATTATTTCTTCTGTAATTCAGTTTCTGTGTTGCTTTCAATGCATTTTGAATTTTTACTTAGTCTTCCAATACATACCATTAGGATATTCAATTGTCATTAACTCAGACTTATTTCACTGGTGTGACTCACGTTTATTTCACTGATGTAAAATTCAAGATCACATCGCAAAAATATGCGCAAGTATTGTTAAAATTAATGATTTCATTTGGAGTCAAATACGTAACTTGGTTATTCGCACTGTGTCGCGCACGCACATTCTATATACCCGTCCATCTGTCTCTCTTCATAGAACTTTTCATAGAATCCCTACAGTGTGGAAACAGGCCCTTCGGTCCAACAAGTCCATACCGAACCTCAGAGCATCCCACCCAGACCCATCCCCCGATAACCCACCTAATCTACACCTTCCTGAACACTATGGGCAATTTAGCATGGCCAATCCACCTAACCTGCACATCTTTGGACTCTCGCTTTCTCTAATCCAACTAATCTGGCATTGATTATCATCCTGTACCAAAGAAGATGCGGTCTCTCTGGATGCATTACCTACTACCTGGTGTCCATGGCAATAACGGATCTCATGCTCATCGTTACTGCTGTAATATTAAACCGGATTGCTGGGATTTTTTTCCCATTCAGCTTCCCGTTTATCACCCCAGTATGCAGCCTCCGCTTGGCCTTTAATTTTGCAGCTATTGACAGTTCTGCCTGGTTAACTGTCGCTTTCACCTTTGATAGATTTGTAGTTATTTGTTGCCAGAAGCTAAAAACAAAATATTGCACCGAGAAGGTGGCAGTGCGAGTGATCGGAATCGTGTCCGCACTGACCTGTTTAAAAAATGCCTTTGTGTATTTTATATACGAACCCACGTACATAGTTAATAATATACCTTTGTTTTGTCGTGCACGGTTAATATTTTACACTTCACCAGCTTGGGCTGCGTATGACTGGATACGGCCTATTTTAACCCCATGTCTTCCCTTTATTCTGATTTTACTGCTGAATATTCTGACCGTCAGATACATTCTAGTGGCCAATAGAGGCCGCAGGAGACTTCGGGTCCAGAACAATGGGAAGAATCAGGGTGATCCAGAAATGGAAAAGCGGAGAAAATCAATTGTTTTACTTTTCGCCATCTCGGGCACTTTTATCCTGTTACATTTGTTATTTATAATAACGATCATATACATCCGAGTTGCGAAAGTCGTTTATTTCACAGGCTCCGACTTCAGTGAACAAACATTTCTTCTCGAAGAAGCCGGATTTAGGCTTCTCCTCTTGACTTCCAGCGTCAATCCGTTCATTTACGCCGGGACCCAAGGCAAAATCAGAATTGAGTTGAGGAATGGGCTGAAGTATCCACTGAGACTACTCATTCAAATATTTAAAATCGGAAGATAAGGCAAGTCCTTACTAGCTGTACGTTATTGTCCAGCATGTTCACATTGTTCGCCATCTGACTACGGCATACCTGTTGCCAAGTGCCACTCAACTTTCAATCGTCACTCACAAAGTGTGAGTTTAAGAATAAATTGGAAACAACGCATCCCCCTCCATTTCAGAAATTAAATATTCTCAATTAATTTCCTGATCTCTGAGCCATGGTTGCTCAGACTCGATCCATTTGCTTTAGCAAAGAGGAAGAGCAGTGTTGTAATCGGATGTTGTTGAGACAGACAAGACTTTATTGACGGATTAATTGATTGATTGATTGATTGAATGATTACTGAATCAAATGATGGATTAATTGATGGATGGAATTACTTATGTTTATGATTATTTATTGGTTTGTATGTCTAAACATGCATTCATTCATAAGTTGTGGGCATTACTGGAAAGGACTGTACTCAACTTTCTTTTTCAGGCAGAATTCTGGCTGCTCATTTGGTCTGAATGAAATTCTGCACCGTCTTCACATGCCTCTTGAATCTTGTCAGAACTATACACACTTCTTTCCAATAAATTCCTCTGTGGCCTTCATGATAACTTCAAGGTAGCTCATAAGCTTCATGTTGACTATTCCCCCACATTCTTCCATTTTTCAGAGTGTGAAGTCCGGAAACATCTCTGCCTGTTTCTGCTCCTCAGATGTCTGTGCTGCACTGACCTATTTGCAGACCTATTACCATCTAATATCCAGGCTTGGGCTGACAAGTGGCAAGTGACATTCACGCCACACGAATGCCAGGCTATGACCATCATCAATAAGAGACAATCTAACCACTGCCCCTTGACATTTAATGGTGTTACCATCACTGAATCCCCCCACTATCAACATCCTGGGAGTTATCACTGAACAGAAACCAATTAGATTCACCACATAAATGCAATGGCTACAAGAGCAGGTCAGAGGCTAGGAACACCATGGCGAGTAATTCTCTTCTTGACTCCCCAGAGCCTGTCCACCACCTACAAGGCACAAGTCAGGAGTGTGATGGAATACTCCCCACTTCCCTGGATGGGTACAGCTCCAACAACACTCAAGAAGTTTGACACCATCCAGGACAAAGCAGCCCGCTTGATTGGCACTACATCCACAAACATTCATTCCTTCCACCACCAATGCTCAGTAGCAGCAGTGTGTACTATCTACACGATGCACTGTAGAAATTCACCAAAAATTCTCAGACAGCAAATCTTACAAATCCACGACCACTTCCATCAAGAAGGACAAGGGCATCAGACATATGGGAACACGACCACCTCCAAGTTCCCCTCCAAGTCACTCACCATCCTGATTTGGAAATATATTGCTGTTCATTCACTGTCGCTGGGTCAAAATCCTGGTATTCCCTCCCTAATAGCATTGTGGGTCAATCCACAGCAGGTGGACTGCAGCGGTTCAAGAAGGCAGCTCACCACCACCTTCTCAAGGGCAACCAGGGATGGGGCAATAAATGTTGGCCAACCAGCAGTGCCCACATCCCGCAAAATGAATAAATAAAATAACTTCCATGACACCCTTGCCTACTTGAAGGTATCTATACTGGTGAAATATTCATGAGAATTATGCAATATGCACCTTGAGATCTCTTTTGCTGCTTAAGAAGTGGAGGAATGTTCCAGAGACTCAGAATCAAGCCACAGTTGTACGTGACCTGCAAAAGAGAAATAGGTGATGAGAGGACAATGTAAGTTTCTGACTGTACGTTGTTTAGATCTTTGGCTTCCAGTCTTGCGCACATAAGCACAATACTTTTTGACCCACAACATGTCTCTCAAGCCTATCCATTCAGTAATTCACTGTCTTGGGGCTTCACATCCAAATCACTATTAGTAAATGGTCTTGCCCTACTTCCTTCCCTTCTGGCTATAGTGCCATTTCCTTCACAGATGTGAGGATGATCATGAATTACATGCTGCCTCCAATTCTTGTCTTTCCATTTGTGTTTTGGCCCTCTCCCCGTGCTGGTATATAACCTCTTACTAAACCCCTGTTAAACACACAAACACAAACACAAACATACACACAAAAACACACACACTCTCTCCAACCTGTTGTGTCAGACAGAAGATACAGAAGCCTGAACACACGCACCAACAGGTTCGAGACTAGCTTCTTCCCTGCTGTTATTAGACCACTCTAACTTCAAATAATGTTGACCTTGTTTTGTGCACCTCCTGTGCAGCCATAACCTTGTATGCCTTTCTCTGTCTAAGCACCCTATGATCTGTATGTCCTTGTTTGCTATGATCTGCCTGTATAGCTCACAAAACAAAACTTCTCACTGTACTTAGGTACAAGTGACTACAATTAACCAAATCAAATCATATCTCACACATGCACATTTTGCCCATGTTCACATAGGTAAACATCATGGAGCAAAGGACATGGCCCTTGCACGTTGTCCCAGTATTGACTGTGCAAGAATCACTCATACCTTCACACTGAAAAGTGAATCTGACAAAGAATGCTGATATTACCTGGGCCAATTCCTGATGATCAGATCACTCCCATTTCATCAAATTAAAGGCTGCAAGTTTTATATTGTGCACTCACCTGGCCTGAATGCTTGAGGCCCCAATTCCTTTTTGAATTCAGATATTTAGATAAGTGGAACCTTAAATGCAGTTTCTCACCTTCTCTACTATCACTCTCCAGGTCAGTTTGATGTTACTATTGGTGAAATCGTCCTGTTTTTCCCACCATGACAGAGCAGGAACCCCCTATGAACCACTGCAGCGGGAAGCAGAATGTCTTGACAAACATTAATGAGTCCAGGAAAAACCCTTATTCTGTCTTTTGCCATTCCACTTTCTCTTGTTGCTAGGTCAATGTTGCAGTCTTTGAAAATAATGGTAGCTGGCCTTTACTTGTGGCAACTCCTAATTGTCTACCAAACCAATATGTCAGCACTTAATTAACCTTGAGAAGATGGTAATCTCATTTCTGCTTCTGTAGACCAACTACCCAATTTAGGTCAGTCATTGCAACTTTTGTGGCCACAATTGAAATTTTGGGCAATTTCATCATGAACCATTCTCTTCTTAATGGGCAATAGACAATATTGATTATGATTTAAGCTGATCTCATTTGGTGTTCCTCAGTGTAACTAGCTGGCATTTAAATTCAACAGACAATCGGAAATTCGTAGATTGGAAATGCAAGAAACTATATTTCTGATTCCAAAGACATTATTTTCACTGACTGGATCTAGATTTCTCCATTTACTGTGTCATTGCATTGCAATTAGAGTTATGTATATACTTTACCATTTATTTCAAAAAATATTCAATATCTTCAATGTTCAGATCACAGTGTAAGTGACAAAAGTTGGCTGTATTTGACATTATGAAGTAACAGTCAGCCGGTGCATCACTATCTGCGAACAGAAGACTTCCAACAGCAATGCGAAAAGTGGCTGGTGATTTGTGGTTTTTGGTTCTGTTCATAATAGGAAATTGCCATATGATACATTGTCGCATATAACAGGAGATCAGAAATTCATCTGGAGCATTGAAGTAAAGTCTTCGATTCCAGGGTACTGTGTAATGGAGGTCAAATTGCTAGGAAGCTACACAAGAGATTATTTGATAACCTGTTTGCAAATTTGAACTTCTGCAACCTTATAACGAGACATTGTCACAGGCAAGAGGGGAGTTTTTGTTTTCTTCGTTTTGTGGAAGTTTGTGATCTGTGAAGCCAGTTTCTAAGCTGCTAGAGCTGAATTGAAATTCAGACATCATAACTGAAAAGTCTTATGCTTTCTCAAATGACAGAAGGTGGAATGTGAGGAGTCTCTGAGTTAGTCTGCATTTATGTGCCTCTGGAAGTAATAGAAAGATTAGCATCTGGTGATGGTGTGGCCAGAAGTTTCAGTGTGACATCTTAAAGCGAAAATAGCAATGATACTTCACTAGGATTTAAGGTCTGTAAGTGATATTTCTGGGGAAAAGACTAAGTTTTACTATTATTGCTTATTAAGTCTCAGGAAATTTGTTCCATTTGGGTAATAATTTTAGTGGCAAACAAATACAATAAAAGTTCAAAAATAAAACTTGTGAACAATCAAGCAAGATTTCACTCTGGGATCCGATTTGTTCAGTGTTAGCATCATATGGGATCATAACATTGTGTTATATTTCTCTCAAGGTCTGTATCATGGGCAAGTGTTTCAATTCATTGTATGCTCAAATCAAGAGCAGTCACAGTGTTCTGTATTTGTACCAACGCCATGTCACCCTGAAACTCTGCCTTGCTAAACATTTGAAAACAAACAAATTTTTCCAGTGAGTTTAGTTCACAATTGATGAGATTTAAAAATCATCATGTGTTCTTCAGTGACCCAAATGGTAGGTTGATTTTAATCATGAAGACAGCCACATTCACTCAATTTACAACAACCATGCTACACAAGCATCAAAGTTCCTACCAATCCAAACCTCATCAGTATTCCAGAAAATCAGATCAGAATGCTGTGTTCGTCCACCTGGCTTACAAGCACTCAGTACAGACAGTGGGAAAGTACTAGTCAGAGGCAATGGAACAGCTTCCACAGAACTGCTTGCAATTGGTACAGAGACAGTAGAAACTGCCGATGCTGGAGAATTTGAGATAACAAGGTGTAGAGCTGGCTGAACACAGCAGGCCAAGCAGCAACAGAGGAGCAGGAAAGCTGATGTTTCGGGTCTAGACCCTTCTTCAGAAATGAGGGAGGGGAAGGGGATTCTGAAATAAATAGGGAGAGAAGGGGAGGCGGATAGAAGATGGATAAAGGAGAAGATAGGTGGAGAGGAGACAGACAGGTCAAGGAGGCAGGGTTGGAGCCAGTAAAGGTGAGTGTAGGTGGGGAGTTAGGGAGGGGATAGGTCGGTCCAGGGAGGACGGACAGGTCAAGGAGGCGGGATGAAGCCAGGAGGTAGGAGATGGGGGTGGGGCTTGAGGTGGGAGGAGGGGATAG